GTATTAATAGTTATCAAAATTTTGTCGAAATTCCCTTAAAGCAAGTCCTTTTCAACAAGAACTGCGACTCAAATTAAGTAGAACATATTTCCTAATAGGAAAAACGAATAATAATTCGAGTGGCTGCAACTATAACTTTGTACATAAAATTTCAAACATATCGAAAACGATTAGACTTACGTATAGGATATTATAAATGAAATATATTTAGAATTTGGAGTACAATTCAAAAATGTTATAATATATAGGGTGTTTTATTTAAAATAAGCAAGTTGATACCTACTTCCGGTATAACCGGAAGTGTGGCCATGTTGAAAATATTTTCGCCCGCTTGCCTCCCTGACATTGGCACACCGTCCAATTTTCAAATTTCTCTTAATTAAAGTTTGCCAGATATCGATCGCGGCGGTTCCTGGTGGGACACCCTGTATAATATAAAATTTCTGGATAACCTTGCACTTTGATCCTCTCCTTTTGAATTTTACCTAGTAGCTCTTGGTGGCATTCCACAAGACTCGCGTAAACTTTACCATTTAAAGCTATCCACAAAAAAATCTAATGGTGTTAAGCCGTGGGACTTGGGAGGTCATTCGACAGGAAGATCTATCCCTCTTCTTCCTATCCACTTGGGTGGAAAAGTTTTACTTAAATGGGACGTTACAGCAGCACTGAAATGCGGAGGAGCTCCATCATGCATGAACCACATCTGAGCCCGAAGATCGATAGGCAAATTTTGCGTTAGAATCGGAAAAGTGTTCTTCAATAAATTTAGATAATTTTCGCCTTTCAAGCGGCTCGGCATGACATCAGTCTGAAAGTGATTAATTTGCCTCGCATGACGGTTTTCTACGGCGTAATGGTGGAAATTATGGGAATTGAAAACACCACTTCTGGTAAAACTTTATCGTGAACAAAGCTCTACTAGTGAATTTTGGGCGCAGCTTCAATAAAGCGACAAAACTGAAGTTTTATTCCAAAATAAAGTGATTGAAGTTCCTGAAAAGGCGTCGCATGATAGGGATGGAGAAACTGCAGCCTTACGATCCGATAAACTGTACTTTTTAATATGGCAAATTCCAGTGCTGAGCGGCGAGTACTGACCCCAGGTACTGACTGATGTTTGGACTTCAGCAATCCTATTTAAAACGTCTTCTAAACTACTTGAGGTCGACCCACACAATCAACGGCTCGGACACCAAATTGTCCAGTCTCTCGCAAAGTCCTTTCAATCCGTGCAAATGTCCGGTATTCTGGAACGTGTCGATCGGTATCGCGCCGCGTAAACGTGTACGCTTTCACGCAAGTTGTCTTCGCAAACAGTCAGTCATGTTTTTGATCATATCGGTCATGTCATCATAACATCTGACCATGTCGGTCATGATGATTGATTGACAAGCGTCAAAACTTTGGCATTTAGTATATCTCGCGTTTATCACGATGTTTGCAGTTAATGTCCAGCATTGTTAAGTGACAAGAAAACAGAAATAATTTATTATTTAGAAACAGAAATAAATTATGCTCTCGAGCACATTCTATGTAAGACCTCTTGATTGGCCCCTGGGATGGGCAGCATTCTGCAATACACCCACATCTCAAATGATTCCAGCTTGTTAATACTGCTGAATTTGAAAGTCCAGGCCTTGACTCCATATAGTAACGTGGACTACACATAACATATATCGAAGTTAAATCTTAGTGTTCTGTCGGTTAAACAGGTTCAGAATTATGATAAAATTGGCTCTAGCTATATTTAAGATATATGTTCTATCTCGGGATTCAGATCCTCGCTCCTCCAATTCCTAGGTATTTAATTTTTGTCGCTTGCTCTATTGGTAAACCGTATACCGGGTGTTAATTTGAAAATCCTTTCATCTTTAATATCTTTCTGGCAGTTGAAAATATGAAAAATCGGACATACCCGTCAATTTCAGTTGTAATTAAAGTTGTAAAATTATGTTATTGGGTCTCCTTATAAAGGGTGGTCCAACCTAAACGCACGATGTTAATTACAAATAACACAAACACACTTTTCAGAGAATTATCTCAAGATTTTCTTACTATGATAGGAGGATATATGACAATTATTAGTGAAACAAAATATCGGCCAAATGCTCGCCACGGCTTCGGTGGCACACGTCTATCCGATGATCCATATGTTCAATGACATTGAGACATAATTCAGGTTCAATGTCGTTAATGTGCCGAATTATATCATCCTTTAGCTCTTGAATTGTTCTTGGCTTATTGACGTACACTTTTTAACTTAAAGATCCCCAAAGAAAGAAGTCCAACGGTGTGAAATCACATGATCGAGGTGGCCAATCAACATCGACGTGACAGAGCACGGCCAATTGTTTCATTGACAGTCTTGCAAGTGCCACCATCCTGTTGGAACCACATATCGTCCAGGTCCATATCCTCAATTTCTGACCACAAAAAATCCGTTAGCATCTCGCGATAGCGAACACCACTTGGCCGACCTCATTTTCGCAGAACGACGGCCCGATGACGTCGCCAGCCCATTCTTCTTCATCAGCTTAGATTTGTCCACTGCTGGACATAAGCCTTCCCTAGTTTCTTCCAACTTCTATCTTGTGCGTCCTGCATCCAGTTCGTCCTGATGCGTTTTATGTCGTCAGACCATCTGGTTGGTGGTCGTCCCCTATTTCGATTCGCGTCTTCTTTGGGTCTCCACTCTATTATTCGCTTGGTCCACCTATAAGCCGCACCAAACAGTCACTATTTCTGGATGCATCGGCTCTTCAACAATCACTCGTGGATTCTCATTTGCCCAAATGCGGCAATTTTGCTTGTTAACGAATCCACTGAGGCAAAAGTGTGCCTCTCGATGAAGATGATTTTCTTTGTGAAGTCACCATTAACTTCTGTTTTTTTTTTCATTTCATTCAAAATTTCGTCTTAATTTTTAATCAAAATTTGCATTAACGTTGTTCCAGAGATGTTCACTTGATGAAATAAGTGTCCAAAAAAAGTTGGTCAAAAACCTTGACGTTAATGTGTGACCTAGAATTAACATCGTGCACTATGTTGGACCACCCTTTACTTTTTGATTCGGTTACACTGTTAAAATCGCTCAATAGCAGTAAGAAAATCTAGTTTTAACATTTGATTTCGGTATTATTGATTATTTTACTTCGAGAAAAATCACTTTTTATTTACGGAAGAGAAATCTAGAATAACTCCCATGGGATCTACTTACGCACTATCTTATAAGTTGTCCAAGCTGTTGTCTATTTCCCTGTAAACAATAATAAAGTCTATTTTCGAACCCTCCCTAACATTGATAAGATATTCCCGGATAGATCGAGTGGCAGAAGGGGACCAATTCATTGGCCTCCAAGATCACCGGATTGAACACCCTTGAACTTTCCTTGGGGATATCTTAAGTTCATTGTTCATAAAACCCAACCTGCTGATATTGATGATCTTAAAATTCCCGGTGAAGTTTCCGAAATGTTAGGGAAGAGTTAAAAAACAGACCTTATTATTGTTTACAGGAAAATTGACAAAACTTAAACAACTTATATGATTGTAAAGGCTTTCACGGCCGGTTAAATCACATTCAGAAATGTTTTCGATATTTGAAGCCCTGGTCTATGGGAATTTCTTCCTTACGTTCGGTCAACTTACAACTGCGGTGGATATTCTCAAAGGCGATGAAGCAGTGAGCGAAGCAGTGAGCGAAGTCTCGTGCTTTACGACTAAGACTGGTTCAACTACTGAATCCCTTGTCGTATTTATCGTTTTCTTATTACTCTTCTAATTATATTGTATTACAAGGAGACCAATTACAATTGCTTTTGTGTAAACACTGACTTGAAAACGAATATCTGAATGTAGGCAAGTTTAATTGTTTCTACAAGTTTGAGACGCGATTATTCGGAAACCTCTGAATAACAAGCAACAAGGTAATAACCCGGCCGCTTAAGGGTGACRTCTACCCGTCCTATAGGGTTGAAAAAAAGAAGGCTAAAARTATTCATTTAAAATGTCCCTCTTACAAATAAAATTGACGSGTCTTTCCGATTTTTCRTAGTTTCAACTGMAAGAAAGATATTAAGGGTGRGGAGTTTTCAAATTGACACCCCGTAGCAAAGTGAATGCCTTGATTCTAGTGMAYAGTTCTATGATACTGCTCGAGTCGTTTCTTGTCCCAGGTTTTGAAGATTGGGATAGTTATGCYCTTTYTTCATTSTCCTGGGACGGTTTMMMTATCGAGAATTTTCTGGTAGCGACTTACTAATTGCGYGCTAGGTATCTCATCCAGGCCTGGAGCGTTTTAGTGTCCTCTGCCCCAAGTGCTGGGTTAATTTTTCCAATACCTCCACCTTCTGGGGGTGAAGTGTRCTTTACCGTGTTCTCTTGTTTTTGGTGTAAGTTCTTCAAGTATTCCACTCTGGGTGTCTACTAATCGCTTGTGAATGTGCGTATGCAAKGGTCTACTGTTTAAGTACTGCATGTATGCTTTTCTCTTTTTCCTTAGCTATGTTTCGATTCAATATACCTACAATATAGGGTGATTCGAAATTGGCGTCATTCCTCTGGAGGCGTTGTCTGGGGGTGCCTTGGGAGTACATAAAAAATAGTAAAAAACATTAAATGTTATTAACAACTCAGATATTTGCAAAAAACTACATCAGAAGGATGGCAACAATGTTTTCCAAGGTAATATCCCTAATTAACGTTACGTAAATACCTGTTCCTTGGTAATTATTAAAATCTGCGGTAACCATGAATAAACATGAAGCAAAGGAAATAAAAGAGACAATAAGTTGAAAATTAGAACAGAGGCAAAGTTAAGTTGAAATTCGATCTTTAATTGTTGGTATCTTCTTGAAGTTTTAGAAAAAAAAATTTCAATATTTTTCTCGTACTCTCTAAGTGTATATAAGCCCTATATATCCTTAAAAAAATGACGCCAATTTTAAATCAATAAATCAAAACTGCTTTATTGAATTTTGTCCTATCGTTTCTTTCAGATTATTTTAATGATCTTTCTCTCATCGTGCTTGAGCATAGGTAATTCCGAATATCCTAGATTCAAGCGAAAAGGCATGCCGCAAAATATAGCTCAACGTTTGCCTCCCCAATCGCAATTTGGGAAAAAATGGGGTAAACCTCCTCAAAACATGCCACCACAATTCATGCAAGGCAGGCCCCAATTTCAAGGGCCCCGTATGCCTCCAAGGGGAAACAGACCATCAAAACCACCAATGGGTAGGTGCAAGAGAGAAGCTATAGCCATATTGTTGCATGCAAAAAGAGGTGAAATTTGGAAAATATCAGCATTGTTGTGACTTTATTTTAGGTTTCAATATGCATATGGCTCAAATGCAACAACACTCAATGTACACTAAACCAAAGTTCCAACAGTTCCAGCAATTTCTACAGCCTGAAAAAACCAACCCGGGCCAAATGAAGGACTTCTTTAAAAAGCCGAATCAACTTCAACATCCAGTTATTCAGAATGGACCAGTGCTTTCTGGACAAATGATACACTTTCCGAAAGATAATAGGGATAATCCTAAAAATATACGTGAGTAACTTATTTTTTGTAATGATATGGCAATAGTGTGGCTTAATTACTTCATAAAATTATTCTCAAGCATCTTTTAGAATGTCTTTGGCATTTTGGTTTTACACTCTTAATTTTGTATTTTGGGCATAACGAGAACAATATGGTGATATCGGAATATGTGGAATTGAAACGCTAGGGTTCTTTGTGCACTGTACCAGGTAGAATTTGCCCAGAACACAGAGTACGATCGAAGGCAAATTCTGTCTGCCTCATCATTAGCTTTTTGTTTGTACTTTCATTAAATTGATCCTTGCAACAAAAAACATTGATTTTGATTTAGGAACATCACGTTTAGCTGCTTTGAACCATAAAACTTTACGTGCATAATCATGGAGAACGGTTAGAAAGAGTTTCTTTGGAGCACTTATTGAGGTATTCTTACATTCTGGCACAAAACACCACTTATTTTGTGATCCATACATGTCTCTATTTTCCATTATGCAAGATAATAATAATAATCAATAAAATGACGATAATCACAATAACTTAAATAATAAAACACAGCTGCGAAAACAACAAAATAAATACGAAACACTTTGTTGATATGACCTGCTACGTCACAATCGGAATAGGCACCCTACGTTACGGATTCGGCGTTTTTGGCAGAAAATATATGATTTGAATTTAAATTCGCTTTAAAATTATTATGGAGACTTTTTTTGCAAAAAAAATTATATCGGTATAATGTTTGCCATAACTACTTTCTATATATCAACATTGAAAAGAAGTGAAAACACCCTATTGTAGAAAGTCGTTCCATCTGGAACTAATAATATTTCTTTACTTCAAAGATTCACTACAAGTTGGTGAAAGATGTTTATGGAAGTGTTTAGGTTAATTGATCAACAGATAGCGTCATAAACTTTCACTGGAAATAGCGAAAGATTTCAGGATATTGCGCTATTTTAACAATTTAATACAGCCAAAATTACTTGACGAGACAATAAAAAGTATTGTTCGCAACAGAACGTTAATAGTTCTACATATCAAAAAGTCTTCTATAGAGAATCTCATTCATTCGTTACCGTGTAATATCTGAGTTTAAATACGTGTACCGAAAAAAGTTCGAAAAATTTCAAAACTCAATCCAAAATCCAGAACGTCCCGCGTCATTCCTTGTCGTCGAAAATATGACATGCAGCAATATGATAAAATACAAGTCAATTATATGAGACTGAAAGCTATACATCCACAAAGCAACGAGATGCAAAGTAATTCCAAACTTACCGAAAGCTGCATCGTGCCACCTGAAAAGAAAGGAAAACATTATTTAGTATTACAGATACTTAGTCAAAAGTTTAATTATTTAAAATCAACAGAGGAGATAAAAAATGCCATCAACTTTAGTTGCTTCTCGAAATATTAAACTCAATTGTAAAGATTTATAGATTACAATTCATTCTGCAAGCTGGCGCCCCATCCTACATTATCTACCCCTTAATCCTCAAAAAACGCACACAACTCACTTTTGTGGTGGACGCGAGTAACATCTCTGTCGTTCTATATGAGATAGCCGTTCTAAAGACGTCTTTGCTCTTATGAGTCTATGTCTAGAAAGCACGTTCTGGCTTAGCATAGTATTCAATTAATAAGATGTATGGGTCGTACTCGTATAAAAAGTTATATTTCAAGAGCAAAATATGCATTTTTCAGAATGTAATTAGATTCAGATGCACGTTAACGTTTTCAGCAAAACACGAGAAACCTTCATTCGTATCTTCCCCTGCGATACCCACTGGTTTTGAGTACGACTACCACGTTCAAACTAATAACATTCCTATGAATATCAACACTATTAAACAAGTGGGAGAAAAAGGTACAATTTTTAAAATGTTGCAGTTCAATTTCACTAAAAATGTTACGTTTAGGTCCAATTCATACGATACCAGCTCCAAATCTGAGCCTTGCCGACAAACCCAGTCACGTTGAATTGCGCCGACCCCAAAATTACCAACTAGAGCAACAAATTAATTTCCAGGAACCCCAATTCCAAAATGTAAAATATACAACCTGATAAAAATTCTCAACATTTCTCATATATATTGGTTTTAGGGAGATTCACAAGCACACCATCAATACCAAGTGACGGAACACAATGAACAAACATCTAAACGGTTATTCACAGATAACGTAAATGAACAAACGCACTATATCTCAGCACCGTCTGTCCATATGGTAAATCAGCCTGGACTCCAAAGTGGCAATCAAGGGTATCAGAATGTACAATCAGTATTTTATGGGCCAGAAACTCTTGGAGTAACAGTTCAAGAGAATGGGAACCGTGGAATCAATATCGGAATTTCTCAAGAACAACTTAATCAGCCAGGTGAAGATATGGTGTTTTCCAACAGTGAACGCTACCAGGTAAACGAATACTTGCATTTAAAATATTGTTTTCAATTGTATACAAGTATAAAATGTATATAAAAAAAATACATTTAGTTCAAATAAATATTAATGAAAATCAAACGAAGACAGTGCAAATTTCGAATTTGTGTGGCTAAAACGGAGTTTGTATTGTGTTAATTTAGGTGGAAAATAGTCAAGTTTCAAATGGTCCACGAAAGCAGAATTTGCAAACGCAGGCTATTCAATCTAATTATCAACAACACCATCCGGAGCAAATTGCTAAATTTGCTCAAAATCAGGAGCCACAATATGTACAGAGGTATCGGGAGAGGAACAATCAGGTAATGGTATTTTAGTCAATCATATTGTTCTTTCATAGGGGCCACCTCCACCATGAAAGTTGAGAATCATCAGGGTGATACTAAAAGCTCGTTCACACATTGACATTAATGTTGTGACGTGAATTCCGGAACAATGTCATTGTTTCAACTGTTGATTGTCACAGGGTCGTGACATCAGTGTGACATATCAAAATGATTTGATATACGACATTGTGACACTAGTTGCTGTCACGGCATTAGATGTACAGACTGACGTTTGACTTTGAGATGGCTGATGATGTAAACAAATCGTTGTTACCACATCTTGGCTAGCCATCAGAACCATCGTAAGGCTTTTAATCCATGATTTTGGTCTCCATCTTATACATCTGTTTTCATCTGTTACCTTGCATTACAACTTGTAGTATTTGGTATTTGAATTATCTAATTTTATTTCCTCTATACATATAGAGTGATTTCGATTGCTAGGTTAATTTCCTTTTCCTTATAGCTGCGTCACTTTACTTCTTCGTTAGGTTTGCATGGCATTTTCAACATTTTCTGCTACATCCACAGATCGAATACATCTAGTCTTTTCCAGTCAACCATTTTTAGGGACCTTGCTTTCTTCCCGAGGTATAATACAGATTTAAAAGTTCATCAGTAACGTATTTCCAGTTCAGGCTTTAAATCTAGACAGGAGAAGGTCTCTTCATTCCGGTGAATGTAAATAAAAGAGTTGGGCCACGTATTCGTATACTCTTTCGATAATTTGAATATTTGTGATGATGCTAGTACTGTCTTACATTGTTTTCGTTATCCCCGTATATTATGTTTAATGATAGTCCATATTATTAGCCAGCAACGACAATTTCATTAATGATCGTTTTCAGGTAAGAAGACGGCAAGAGCTCATTTCACATTATTTACTGTCATCTAGTGTTTTATGCATGTTGTCTTCCGAGTACAGGTTGGTAGGGAATAGGTCAAAGTATCCACGCTTTACGATCGTCCTTTTGGTATATTTCTTTCTTCAGATGTTTTGTCTTCTATTGGTACTGATGCTTTTTGACCATAGTAGAGGTTGAAACTATTCTTATGTATTTTCATTTCTTTCTTTCGTTTCTTTATTAGTCTTTCTATGAGTTGATCATACTTAACCTTATCGAAGGCCTTATTACAGCCTCCACCGTCTTCTTGTGGCGTACTCTCGCTCCGAGAGCGTAGGCGACCTCTCCCGCATGTGGAAGGCACTAGAGATGAGCTGAAGCGTGATTTTATAATCACTGTTAAAGCTGTGAATGTGATTTTTTCAACTGTAAATTTAATGTGATTTCACTTGTGATTTCTCTAAAAGTTCTAAAAGCATTGTGGAAAAAAATGAGGAAAAAACAAAAACAAACTATTGTTTTAAACAGTTCGAATAGCGTATTTTCTTAATTCTTTGTGAACAAGATCTATTTTATTTCAATTTTCGATCTGAAAAAAAAAACGATTTAAAGTCACATTTATCAGAAATGTGAACGTATAACTCGTTGGGCTAATTGTACGCCGGTCATAGCAAAAAATTATAACAGCCATGCTTTTGCATCTTTTGTTTTATGTATGATATTGATTAGTTCTATCAGAATTCTAATCTTCTTTCCTTTAATAAGTTTAAGTATCTTCGCAGACAGTTGGGTTGCAGCTGTGCCCTTTTTGCACTTTCAAGCAAATAGTGCAAGCACCACTTCTTTTTTAGTTGTATTTGGGCCCAAATCTCCTTCTTGACTGTCCAAATTCATTTGTTGTCGCTCATATTCCAACAGATGTGTTATGTATTTCTTCCACGTTTCTATTTTTTGTTCTATTTGTTCGACCATTTTCCGGTTATCAGAAGGCAATAAGACTTTTCAATTGTAGTGTTTTGCGTGTAGTTCTTCGATTTTATTTCTTTTTTTTTTCTGATGTTTTTTAGTTTTTATTGTATTGTTTTTTATTTTCCTTTTAGTTCCCATATTTTATCTATATGGTTCGGAACTTAGTTGCTCAGATAGTATTTCGTTCCCGTAATTTCACCTCTCTTTAGTGTACTTGCTGTTGGTTCCAGTTAAACTGATTTGATGTTTTCCTTTTATATTGTTGCTGTTTTCATGCTGTATTTAAGCGAGTTTTTTCTAATTATTGTGCTTTTGGGTCTGATTGGTGTTTTGGGGCTTTGAAAAGTTTGTGGTCGGGGAAAACATCAGCTTTCGAATATGCTTTAACTGACTTTAATCAGTTCTTTCGAACAAATATAAGTTCTGACTATATCTTACGTTTATTAATAACTAAGCTATTTGATGTATGAATCATATGATCTTATGGGATGTTGTTCACCGTTCCGTTGGGACTTCGATGTATGAAGTCCCGGCTTTGGAATTTTATAGAAGAGGTTTGTTACCATCATTGTTTTTTTTAGCAAAATTGTACCATCCTGTCGCCCCAATTATTTATTGTTCTAGTTCTTTAGTCATCCATGTCCTTCGCATATCGCTTCTCAGAGTTTTGCATTAAAATCCCAAAAATACAATGATTAGAGCATCTGTTTGAAACCTTCATAGAAGACCTCAATTTCGTCTTCAAGTTTGTCTGCAGTAGGAGCATACAATTTGTTTGGACTTGGCCATGGCTGAGCAACTTTGTTCCTCTACTTTCTAGGATGTAAATTTAGAGTCACTACATTTCGTGTAGAACGTTATGCATTTTTTCGGACTCAAACGTGAACCAATGGGGAACTTGAATTTTTTTTTTATTTCTTTAATATATTTGCCTATCTATAGAAATCGCGCATACCAACTATCAGCCCTCAAGTCTCAATATTTAATTTGCAATAAACAATTAGTTTTGACCTCAGGCTATTCATTTGAAACGACACTAAACGAGCGGGAATGGTCGTGACGTCATAGCGCGGGTCGTTCGATCGAAAGGCAATACGGGAATACGGCTTGTCGTTGAATTGTCTGGGAGTTTGACTATTCAGAATTCGTGCTGTGTTTAATTAATAATGATAGTAACACAAAAACAATATTTGAAATGCTGTATGGTGCCACTGTGTCCTAGTACAACTTTTAAAACGCCAGATAAGCTATTTATTCGTGTACCACAAGATAAAAGCTGGCGTTTAAAATGGTTAAAGGTTAACGGTATACAAGGATATTTCTGAGAAGACTACTCCCCATGTATGTGAAGATCATTTTAATTGTAAGTATAAAAAACAGCTTGGATTTTGTCAATTGTGTAACAGGTAAATACTTTGAATTTGTATTTTTTTTTGCTTCTCGGCTGCATTATAATAGTAAATAATCACCTCAAAAATAGCTAATTGCTATACTAGACGATAAAAAGGAACAATAAGTATCTGCGAAGAAAAAACCTCGATTTATCGTCGTGCATTTACCTTAAATACGTACTATTTTTGTCATGCAATATGAATGTTAACACATATTTTTATATAACTTTAACATTATTTATTTATTCTAGCTGGAAGAAGATATGGATAACTATGTTAAATTCAAGTTAATGGGAGGTCTGAAAAAAATGAAGGCTGACATTAGCCTTCATTCTTACTGCAATCTTACAAAATACCTTCTCGATCTGTAAATAACGTTTTTTTAACTTAGACATATTTTTGTACTTAACATTGTTATTCTCTAACTGTTAACTTTTAATGATGTCATTTAGTTTTTACTAGCATAAAAACAATACTTTCTTATTTTTTGTGGAATCACTTACATTTTGATCAATGGGTCCTGTTTGAATTTTGAAAATTAGAGCCAGTAAAACCCCAGTCTCTCAACATTTTATCGATTTGTATAAGTAAAACTATTGACTATTTTGTCTATAAATCTACCTGTTAGCTTTAACTTCCGTTAGCTTACCGCGAACTTCATCAAGAGTAAAACTTAAACCCACTTTAATGCCACCATAAACATATCAACGAGGGGTAAAATGTCAGCTTGTCCTTTTACAAAACCTGCGTTAGTCATTTTTAAAATTTTTATTTTTCTCCTAATACACTATATAAACGTTTTCACAACAATACCAAGACTGAGATTGCATATTTACATGCTCCGCATTGCAGCCGCCGCGGCCGACAGGCCCCTTGACGTCACAACTGGTCCCAGCCGATGACGGCGCGTTACAAGAATGATTTGAATTATACAGATTTTAATTGCTTATATTAATTACATAGAAATAAAAAGTTAGTTTTTTGGGCAACTGTGGTGTTTTTAATAGTATTAAATTACGTTTGCGAGTAATATTTTTTAAATTTAATTTTTATGCAAGTTCCCCATTGGTTCCACCACGTAGGTACCAATTGGTTTTCATGGTCTAGCCTGTCATTGTTCCTTCTGGAGATAAGATTGGACAACTTGTTACTCATTTATATTACTGTACCAACTGATACCGAAAATCTCCACATTTCAGGAGGCTGAAGAAAATAACCAGAACATCGAACCCGAGTTCCACTCTTTTAACTACGATGAACAAGCCCATCAAGCGCAAGCCAAATCAGGTATTTTTATAGTTAATTTACATGAGGCATTCATTAATGAATGAAATAATACTTATAGTTTTGCACACTTTAAAACCACATTATTTTAGACGCATCCTCAGGTTTGGTAACGGCCACATATTCTCTTGGACCTGGACAAGAGAAATTAAACAAAGAGCCAAACATTAACTCGAGAAGTTCTTCAGTTGATCCGTTGACCCAGTCTCAAATTGTTCAAAGCTATTTTGATACAAGGTAAAGTTTTGCACGCATTTTATTACAAAGCTAACATATTTAGAAAAGTTGAAAAGAATGTGGCATTATTCTGGTCGAAATTTATTTACGCACTAAAACTTTGATCAGTACACCTTCTGTTACATGAATCCTAAGACACTGTATTAAGCCTGGGTAACACTTTGTTGAGTTGCGCTTTTGAGTTGATGCCGTTCTCTAAGTCAACGAGTTATAATTCATCGTTCAATGAGTTATAACTCATCGACGGATTAAAGCTGCACGTGATACGTGAATAATTTATCTCAAATATTTTCTTCCATTTTGACACGTGTAGAGTGGTTTCTTTTTTTGACAGAACATTCCTCTGACATTAACAAATGTCATTCGTTCCACTAAAATTTTCAGCTTTTTAATGACATAATAACTAGTGTAGCAAATCTATAGAAAAAAATGATTATTGATAGATCGCAGAGCCACCTGTCAAAATCGAAGAAAATGATCTAAATGTGATAAATTATTCTCATTTTTTGACGTACTACCCGAATATCCAGTAAAATGTTGTGGTTACCATTTTAAATTATCAAGTTGGCCCCTGCCTAGCCTACAAGGTCGAAGTAGGCGTCGTTTTTCTCACACGAATAAGCTTCCCCCTCTCAGATATTAACTTCTTATTTGAAACATTTTTTTCCTCGAATCACTCGTGTCCGATATATTTAAGTGTTTCAAGCTACAAAAAAAACACCCTGTATATTTAATTTCAAATTTCTCTAATACATCGCCAAAGAAATTGCGCCGGCAAGAAAACAGTTAACGGCGATTGGTGAACTCTGTAGTAAACATAGAAAACTCATAGCCAAAAAAGGAGACAAGCGCCCTCTTTAGTAAATAAAATGAACTAACTTGATGATTGTCGAGCGCCCTCTGAGGTGAATACATCCAACTACTAACATAATGTAGCCCCTTTTCTAGTGAATATGTCGAACTAAATTTCCCAAAGGCGCTCTCTATAGTGAATAAGTCCAAGTAATTATCGTAATACGTGCCCTCTGTAGTGAATAAGTCGAACTAAATTTCATAAAAGCACCCTCTAAAGTGAATTTGTCGACGTAAAAGTCGAAGTTAACTTTAGAGGACACTTTTGTCGATTTTATTTCAACACTTTGCCCAAACAACTAAAAAAACTTTGTTTTAAGCTGAGTTACTGTGTTAGTGCGTTGGGTTGGCGCATCAAGCCACTTGCGCAGCACTACGCCAACTCCTAAAAATTCTCTAAGGTTCCCAGGCCTACACTGTATCTGTGAATAATTATTTTACAGGGCTGGAAATGATGTACAACCCGATGCAAAACCAAGCGGATCTGGAGCAGCGGAGAAAGACAGACTCAACTCATTTTATAGTTCGTTACCCAGCAAGGACGCCGCTGATCGACTTGCCACATTACAAGCAGCTGGTAAAGTCAATAGTAATTTGATGCAAATGGGAAGTCCTCAAGTCAACCAAGACGAAAAAGGTACGCACAAGCAGTAGGCTTCTGAGTTGTTTAAATTGTTTATCATTTCCTATTTTTTACACATTTTAGGCATAATTATATAATAAATAAGATAAAATATCTGTACAGTACTATAATTATTTTCTTATATTTTTAAGATGACGCTCTTCCTGCTGAAAGTGAAGAATCTGATAGTAGGGAACAATTAGTAGACTATGACGACTATTCTCAAGAAAGTGACGAAGCCCAATCCGATGAACAAAGTGGATTTGGACAAAAACTAAGGATATAAGATTTAAGTTTAGGTTTTTAATTTATTTATTTATTTAAGAGTCATTATTTATTTCCTCATTGTTCGTGTTCATAAATGTTCAATCATTATTATTAGGTTAGAAGAGTTGTTATCTGGTTGAATGTTAATATATGATGTTGAATATTTTTTTGTGAATTTGTTTTCAAATTCCTTCAAATGATAAATTTCTAGTATTATTTTATACTGAGAAATATAGAGTAGATGATCAGTTCGCCGTTAGTCCGAGAACCTTATCTTGAAAAATTAAAAATGTGTTTAGACGTTTTTGGTGAGACTGAGCCTTTCACTTCCCTACGATAAAATGCAGCAGATGTCAATGTAGCGTCCAACATAAGCTTCTCCCATAGTAATAATAATAATAATAATAAGTATGAGGACATACATACAACAAAATAAAGTCAGGATATAACATTAACTTAACTATTATCTACTAATACATAAAATTCCTGCATTTAATATGGTTCGTATTCGGTATTTCTAAGAGTAATTAAAAAGATTATTTTTTAGCACTTTCAGACTGACAGCTTCTTTTATATACATAGGCAAAGCGCTATATGTATATAAGAATACATTGATAATATGAACCTTTTTCGTAAATATTTTATCTATGCTTTGGATACAGGGTGGCTTTTTAGTGCGATAGAGTCCATTATTTCCGATGGTGTTTAACTTTCGAAAAGTAGTTTCATATAAAAGTTGTTGCCGCACAAAGTGCTTACATTTTAAAAACATCATATGATACAGAGTGTCTCAGAAAAGCGAGGCAAGATCAAAGTGTATTTTTTAAAATAAAACTGCCGATTTTTCATTAGCTCACGGAATGCAGCTTGAAACGCCGCATATGCACCGTGAATAGTTTTTTTCTTACTTGCTACGTTGGCAGATTATAGCCGTAAAATTTTGCTTAAAAACATGGTTTCTAAAAATTCATTGTAGAAGAAAAAAAATCAGTTAAAGACACAAAAAATAAGTCTTTCCAATCACCACAGAACCGTTAAGAATTCTATTGAACCAGGATATCAATACATTGTACAGGGTGTTAACAATGTGGACTTCAATCTGAAACTTTAACGCAATATAACTTTTGTTTTTCAAATGGAAGTACCTGTATATTAGTTCGTCATTAGATAGACAATTTTACAATACAAAGTTACACATTTGCATTTTCACTTTAAGCTGTGAAATCAACCGTTTTCAAATTGTAAATTATTTTATTTAAAAATTTCAAAAAGTTGTTACGTTTTGTAAGGTGGCTATGAAATTCATTAAGTAAATGTCAGAATATGATGATACTTGAGATAATCAATGAAGAAAAGTGCAACGTTTTATAAAATGCATAGAACTTTATAACAAAAAATGCAATAAAACTGCATACATCTATAAAAATAAAAATATAAAATTATA